TCTCCTTACAGAGAATCCAACGAGTCGTTAATGTGGGGTAGGGGAACGCATTCTTTTTTGTTACTGCATTGAGCCTTCTATAATCGACGCATAGACGTAGGCTGCCGTCACTCTTTTGACTAATGTGATGGGAGAAGCCCAGGGTGACTGAGAGGGCCTGATAACGTTATCGCGCAGCATCTCGTCAATCAGTCGATGTACTTCGTCTTGGAGAGGTGGCGGTATGCGTCTAGGGGGCTGCCAGACCGGTTTGGCCTCGCCCGTATCGAATCTGTGTTTGACTGTGTTCGTTCGTCCCAGTTTCGCTCCCTCCCAGGAGAACATTTGAGCGTAATTCTTCAGGAGTGAGTGCAGTTCCTTCCTCTCAGCTTCAGTAACCTGTTTTAGTTAAGCGCAGAGATCGTTTAGATTTGTCCCAGGGATGGCAAGGGCAACGAAAAGAGATTTGCTCTGCGCCTTCCATTGGTTTAGGGATCGAACGTTTCTTCTTGGGCCATCGGTGAGTTGTGAGCATGCCCGTATCGAAGTCCATAACTGCTCGGGACTGGCGTAGAAAGTCGGCTCCTAACAGTACGTCCCAGGCTAATTCTGGGCGCAGCACGAAATTTACCTCCCAGCTTTTATTCCCAATTCAAACTCTAATAGATGCTTCTCCTATTACGGAGATTTCTTTTACTTCTGCAGATCGTAGTCCAGTTGCCTGTGGGGTATTTTTGGCCTTGTTGCAAACCATGGGAAAGCCTGTGGACTTAGTATGGAACGGGCTGCCCAGAGTCCAAAAGAAATACGTATGTGTGACCTTCTAGTTTGCCTCGTACATGCATAAAGGTAGAACATCGCGTGGGAGTTAGAAAAGACAAAGAGAATTGTGCTTTACTGTGTGTTGAGGGGCCGGTTCGGAGCGCACGCCGTTGTTCACCAGTAGGTGGTTTGTTGGGAGTCCACGGGTGAATGCGGACCTTGAACTCGGTTGAGAGATGTAACTCTTGGCGCTTGGCTAGTGCCGCATCGATGAGGCGGTTCAATATGCTAGTCTTCAAATGCACCAGTTGTTCTGCTAAAGCAGGTGGCAACCCGTAGGGTACAGCAGTCCTTGAATGCCTGTTTGGCAAACGCCTGGAAATTCCCCGCAAAGTCTTCATCACTCTCACCCGGTTTTTGTAACCGGTGGATACCGGAGAGATACAATTTGACAAGAACCTTACAGCAGTCTTCCATATCTGAGGAAAGTGAGACACCCGCATCCATTGCTTCCCGACGTAGGTCATAGGGCAAGGCGCGGACTAGCAATGGTACTCGCCGAGCAGGCTCGTAGAGTTCGAGATCTGCCTTTGCAAAGAAAAGCCAGTCATCGAAATCGGTGCCTTCTTTGAAGGGAGGGATGTCGACCGACGCTGCCACCAGTGTAGTTACTGCCTGTCTACTCTCTGGTCCCAGATTCTCAGACTTTAAGAGGAAGTTAGTTGCAGACGATTTATTAGGCATCGCTGTTAGGAAGGATGGGGAATGGGATACAGATGAGGTAAGAGATATCAATCGTAAGGAGACTCCTCGCCGACTTTACGCACGTGATTCACGCTCCCAAAATTGGTCCCGCCTCTCAGCTATAAAAGTCCACTTAAACAAGCTAGAATATATTACAAAGACAATTTGGGTTTTATAATTAGAATGCATTGCAACATTGTTCGTCGTCACGGGGAATGCTGAAAAAATTATTGCAGCATTGCAGGACAGATTGGTTGTTTAAATCATTTGTTGAGTGAGGAAGGCGCAAATTCATTCGATCTCCGTATTCGAGGAGTCTGCAGAGGAGCCGTCTTCTTTTGCTAATTTGATCTCGCCTCCTACACACCTTGCACCGATTGTAAACCTAGAAATGTCGAATTAATTCCTTCCAAGGAAAGCCTCTTCTGGAAGCTCTAGCGAGATGAATCCCAAACCGGCTACGAACATAACTTCCAATTTGGCAAAGTAGGTTGCCAACTTTGAACTATCACTCATAGCTCATAGCAACCCTCGTCAGCATTGTCTCGAGTGTTAGATAAATTTTCGGTGCGTGCTTCAGATTCACAGAATTGGGAAGAAATTTCGTATATTCCAATGAGATCCTCTTGCGTGATTCGTTATCATTGAGGAGAAGCAAGCGAAATTACCACGGCTTAGCTTCAGCCTTGCGAGAAATGGAAAACAAATGTTGATGCAATACGTTGTTTATGCGATCACCTGATGTCTGGCGGTTGCATGAAGATTCTTTCGATCTTTTAACAAATGAGTCAAGACCAGACTTAATCTCGTTTCCCTCCCTAGAATCCGTGTACCCAACTCCATTTAACGTCTTCTTTTATCCGATGGGTAGTCTGGGAACGTTGCACTTCAAACATCCGTCAAAGTATACTGCTAGTTTCGTATTGAAGAAATGCTCAGAGCGAATCGTCTCATTTAGCGAAATGGAAACAATATTAAAGGCAATATCAAAGATATGTTGCAATCTGGGTCGTTGGTTAACAGGATTTTGGGCAAAGGCTTCGATCTAATTTTCCACTTTGGCGGAATAGAAATGTAATTTTGAAATATGCATATCAGAACGTGTTGCGAGATTTTTTTCCTCATTGCTTGCACTGTTGGACAAATGATTAGGGCCAATCTTCTTATTTCGCCATATGGAAAGGGAATATTGAAATGTCGATTGGAATGTTTTGCGACTTTCGGCACCTTTGAAAAGGAATGTTGAACAAATGCTAAAAAATCCAACTTCCTGATTCGAGGAGGAGGGATAAAATTTGGAAATACCGTTTATTGTAAGTTGCGACCTTCCATTCATAGTTTTAGTTGCATAAAAATTTGGAAATTTTGACTTATCGGTGGAGGTGGAGAGAAAGTCGTCGTCATTGAGTGGAACAGATCTTCGTGTTGATAAATGTGCAAAAAAACCATGTAACTTGGCAAAATGAGTCGTGTTTGGATGAAATGTTGTAGGAGAGCACAGAAATGTGCTTGGAGTTTGAAACAAATGGGAAGGGGGAGAAAGTCGGAAATGCCGATCGAAAAAGTGCTGCCGTAGAATGCACTAATGTGTTTAAGTTGACTTTATAGGAGAAGGGCGGTTAAGTAATTCGAACAGGAATCCCGTTCGTGAGGAATGAGGTTAGATCTCCGCAAGATGACATCGGCTTGGCCTCCTTCACACTCCCCTTTTCTGTACATGATGCCAAGTAAACCCTCCTCAACCAACCCTCGTGTAAAGTCCAAGGTGCAGGGCAGGGAGGTCCTATATCCACAAATTTAGCTGTCGGTAGAAAAAATCCAAATAACAATAATTACAGCATAGATTCAGATTTATGAATAAAATGGGAAGTTTGTAGTATCAATTGGAATATATTTTTAAATTTTATGGTCATGGAATGGAATGCAAAGCAAACACTCAGGTCTGACCTGTGTCAGGTCTGTGCGACCCCACAGTTCTCCTTCCCTCTGTGTCGAGTGCCAAATGAAGCCTCCCAGAGCTCACCTTCACTTGTACAGAAGGAGGTAGACGAGTAGGGCGGAAGACACTAGAGGAAGTAAAGTGAATTTGAGAGACATGAGATGGCAATGCTCAGAACAAATACTTGGATCAAAAGAATAGGAGGGAAATGGTAAAATAAGGGTAAAAGAGTGCTAAAGGTTTCTTATTTAATGCAAATGACGACTAACGTCTCAAGACAACACTTTGCATTGAAAATAGGAAGAAGTTTTGCAGCATCGGTAGGAGTGAGGTTCGAAATTCATCATCGTTGAATGGATTTTTGGAGAATTGTTTAAAGCAACACTTTGAATTCAGCGAAATAAGGAAATAAAGTTTGTTTGTGAATCAGAATAGGTTGACGAAGTTATCAAAGCAACGCTCGGAATGTGGCAAAGTGGGAGTGAAATTTTGGAATTTGGATCTGAGGGTGTTGGTAGATTCGTTGTCGAAATGCTCAGAACAATGCCTCCGATTTTTCGAAATGAGAAGGAAGTTTTGGCATTTGCATCCTAGCGGCTTCCGTGTTTGTCGCCATTGGGCAGACTGCAGGCGAGATGCTTGGACATAAAGAAAAAAAAAAAATCAACCGTGGAAGATGGATTATAGTTTGTTGCAATTTTATTTGCTAACAAATGAACTGCGAATGAATTGCTCAGGTTAACTCTTCCGAAGTCGAGAAATGAGAGGATTTATTTCAGCGCTTGGAGCAGAGCGTGTTACGAGTTTGGTGGTCATTGAATGGAACGTTGAACATTAGCGAAGTGTTTAGAGCAAAATTTCGGAAAGGGACATTTCAATGCATGCATTGTGGCGTGCTTAGGTTTTCACTATCACTACTACTACCATCATCGTCACCATCAACATAATCATAATCAGTGGATGAGATGTTGACGAATTGTTTGGTGTTATGGGAGTGCATTCTTGAAATAGCTACCAGTTAAATCTAACAATTTGCCGCAATCTCATGGGGTCTGTAACATGCTTTCTGTGCAAACTTTGCTTAATCCCATTTTGGATGGTTGAGCAGAGACATTGGAATGCGTTGTTTTTGTTGTAGCGTCCCGGTATTTTCCACCGAGTGAAGGAAGACAATAGGTGAGGCTGGATGCATGTGTTTCAAAGAGGCCAAAGCAACTGCGCCTGAGCATGGCCCGAAGACCAGCTTACGAGTATAAGGGCCAGACAAACGTCAGGTGGTCACATAAACAAGGCATTACATTTGTGACCACCGTTATGTCTGGCGGTTGCTATAGTATTTCTCCTGCCCTTACACGTGTGAGTTGCTCTCGTCTCCCTTTAGAAAACATGGATACAGTCCAAGTTAATGTCTCCTACCAAATGGTAAATGTTGGGACTTCACCCTCGTGTCGGAGGAAATCAAACCCAATCTCTTCATGACTTCTATCTTTGTGTTCATCGTTTGTGGCATATTTCAGTGGTGCAAGGGACGAGCTTATGCTTGGGGCTAGAGGTACTCTGGATTATTCGCAGCAAAAGGGTGGAAGTTGATACCCTCATTTGGCTCCATCTCATTTCCGTGTCCAATAAGCAAGATATTAACAACTAAAATCGACACCGTCGTGAGTTACCTGATAAAGTTGAGGATTGTAGTTGCCCCTCCCCCACTACTCCGGATCCTTTTCCATGCAGTACTGCGTTTGATGCTGTCCTTATGTTATATCCTGTTTCCGACCACTGTATTAAGGTCTGTTCCTGAAAACGGTTGAATGTCAGCAGAAATTCCTATCTACAATTATTGGCCTCAGACCAAACACAACTCCAGCTCCAATTGAACCTCTGAGAATGAGACGACCGGCTCGTAGATGCTTCCTCGTATCACAGGATGTAGCGTCCCGAGACTTCCCACAGGGTAGAAGAAGACGAAACTTTGAGCTGAATATATGTATTCTAGGGACAACAAATGGGTTAAACCTGAGCTTGGTCCAAAGCCGGCTCACACATGCAAGGGCTAGACGATTCTTAAAGCAACCGCCGGAAGTCAGGTGGTCACATGAGTGCTTGAGGTGTTTCAAAGTCTAGTGCAGGAGGCGTACCAAGGGTGGCGCCGAGGACGCCGTTTAGAAGAAGAGGATTGGAACCCAATACCTTGTTTTTTGACTACCGGATGTTTGGCGAATACTTCGACATTTGTCTTACCCTTGTAGGCGTAAGCTGAACTTTGGGCCAAGCCAAATCCTTACTTCCCTTCTCCCCTTGGAAAACATGCAGTTTGTCCAACTTAAAGCCTTCTTACACTAAATGAAGATTGTTGGGTGGCTACAGTGGATCATAACAAATAGAATTTTGTCTTACCTACAAGATTAGCTCCTTTCGCACTTTCTGCTTAAATACATGTATTTAGCCACGACTTATGCCTCCGAATCCAAAAATTTGATTTCAAAACTTTGTGTTCTATTTTAGAAGACTGATTAGTATAACATTTGTGATGCTTTGTTTATGTGACTACCTGACTTTTGGCGGTTACTTTAGGATTTGTCTGGCTCTTGTACTTGTGGGCTGGCCCATTTGCTCTGTCGTCTTCGTAGCACATGTATCCAACCTTACTCACTGCCTATAGGAAGTGTCGGGAAGCTACAGTAATAGCAACGGAAAGCGAACCGGACAGTTTCCAACGACCTCCATCCTAGCACATACCGTTTGTTGCATGTACCTACGGTGTGGAAGAGACGCATTTGCATCAGAGGCGGAGACTCTCTGAATCCCTCACAACGGAATGATTTAGACTGACGTCAGCATTTGGCTTCACCTTATTCCCGTGTTCCTCAGACAGGCTATTAACAACTGAAGAGATATCGTCGTGAACGATCTGGAAGAGTTTCGTGTCGGAGTTTCCCATACGAAATCCGTGTTTAGGTGTTGGAAATGACACTACGGTTCTCCTTACATACGGGACAGTGGCTCATCCCGTTTTTCCTGTAACATATATGTTGTAGGCCAGATTTCCTCCATCTAGTCCTGG